TCTGCTCCCCACTCTGTTTCTGGTGAATCCTCTCACCCTCCGCATCTCTGGCCTGTACCCCAGTTCTGTATGAATAAATAAATAAATCTTTAAAAAAATACAATTCATCACATATTTCTGTATGGAGGGAAAGAATATTAGAACCCAAAGGATGAAACCATCCAATCCAACCTTCTCGATTTTATTTTATTTGATTCATCCCACCAGGGGAAGTCATCATGATATGAAACCGCTACCCACTGACCACCTCTGATTACAAGCGGTATTTATGATGAAGCTAAGTGGTGTCTTTATTAAGAAATAGTTCCAGCAAAAAAATAAGCATAACTTTTCCCAGCCTTTGTTATTCTCAGCTGTCTCGAATAAATACAAGGCTCTCCAAACCACTGCAACATTCTACACTGGTTACTCAGTAGGCTGGGGCTGAAAAAGCAAAAACAATTTATAAGCGATGTTTCAAAACTGCCCACAGCTGGGGGGACTGCCTCTCCTAGATTTACAAACAGGATCAACCTAAACAAAGAGTTTGTGTTTAACTGGCAATGATATAGACGTTTTAAACCATGCATCAGACAGAAACTCAGCAAGGTGGAACCAAAAAACCAAGCTGGTTGATAGGGGTTTTCTCTAATGCAACCAAACAGCCTAAAAAGTACATTTTAAACTTTCATTATTCACAGTTTCACCCTTATGTATGAGGAAAATAAATAGCAACACAGTGAACTAGTTAAGAAGGTATATTGACCAGTCAGAATCTTTTATTCATGAAATAAGTCATCAACAAGTGTACCTCAGTGTAAAAGCTATTTCTCTAATTATAGGAAATGGATTTTCTGGTACTTGTAGTCATGTGACGTATCGCATATAATGATGTCCTTGGCGGTAATCTCCTTGAGGGTGGAATCTGCATCCTGGTCTCTGAGACACAGTGGACACTTAACAAATATGTTCCCGTTAATATACATACATATATATAATCCAAGCCTCTTAGGTTAACCTGTTGGCCAAAGAAGCTACTTTTATCATCCTTAATTTATGAAAAATAAATTTTTTCTCCACTACATACCAAAAATATTCAGATATAATCATAGACTTTCCCCCCCTTCTCCAGTCAGTAGCTAATGGCACTGTTAGGAAAAGACTATTTTCTGACACTGGAGACCATATTTTATTAAAAGAACAATACTGGAGAAAGTCTTCAGAATTCTTGAAATGATAAAAATGTTTTCTCTTTCTTGAAAGCATTTTGTCTCATATTTTCCATTCATTGAAAAAATACACAGCCAAACCTCTCCAAAAACCATTCTTTGTCCTCAAAATAATGTTCTAGTAAGAATTAGTCTGAACTATTTTTCATATTTCTCAAATATGAAAATGAAACCAAGAAGATTTAAATACCATGTCCAAGGTGACATAATAGTTGGGAATATGGGAATTTGTCTCTGATGACTGTTTTTCTTCTTCCTTCCCTCTCCTCATCCTTTCTACTACACACTGCAGATCTGGGCACATTCAATAAAAACATTAGGTTCTTAAAAATGAGGCCTTTAAAAAACACGCAATGAAATGTGGATGGGCTTTTTTATTTTCTGCCAAGAAATGCACTCGTAGTATTGTTTTAAACACTATTTTGTGTAGTATTAAAAAGGAACGGTGGCACGGTGCTTAGTAAATCATTCTCAAGCCACCCCTTAGAGGCCAGACCTCCTAACAAAAATTCTGAAACACGATGAAGAAATGGGTTAGCACCACAAAATCTTAAGAACCTCAACAACGAAGCTTTCACATGAAAACTTGCCAGGAGCACGAGGCCTTTGGGAACTTGCCACTGTGAATAATGCCAAGTTCGCCTCCAGGATTAAGAACCACAGAATAAAACTAAAACAACTTTCTCGTGCTGTCAATCAGTTGGATATGGAGGAAGGCGGTGCAGCTACAGAGCTCATCAGGGCACCCCTGCCAGGGCGCCTTAAAAGATCTCTCCGGTCCCCCCAGGGAGCGCCGGCCGGGCCGGGCCGCTGCAGCGCCTAGCCTACACTGCGGCGCACTGCGGAGCAGCCAGCCTGCCCGCAGCCCCAGCCCTGCGGGGCTTTCCCCGCCGACCCAAGTTGCCGCTTGCTCCAGCTGCAGTCGGACCGTGGCCCCACCGGGTTGCTGCCGTCCCCGCACCAGGGTCGCAGCAGCTACCCATCACCTGAGAGTCTGTGACGCACACACACGCGCCCCCAGTCCCGGATTCTACCATCTCCCCCCACAGCCCTCACCATCACCCACTCTGGCGGGTCTGCTTTTGCATCACTAGCACACGTAGCCGGTGACGCGAGCGCCCCCTTCTCAGGCCGTCCAGGCGGCACCATCAGTTCCAGTGACTCAGCCCACCCCCCTCTGCCCCCGCGCTCCGGGCGTCTGAGGTCCTTGCACACCCACAGAAATGCTCTGGGGTTTGCATCTGCGGCTAGGTGCCCGCTGCCCCCGTATTAAATTCATCCCCACATCCCGCAGTCCTCGTAGATCCAGTCCCGGGCAGTCCTCGATACAGACTGGAGAAAATAAGTCTCCCCAGTTCTAAAACCCAGGCAGAGGGGAAAGAGCCCGCCAAGGCAAGGGTCAAATGAGTTGGCTGATCACCTCCACACCTCCACAGCCCTCACCACCACCTGATGTTGTTTATGGGTGGTGGTCGATATCCCACCCTCCCATCACACACACACACACACACACACACACACACGCACGAGCCTCAAACCAATTGGTCTATTTCATTGTGCCTGGTGCACAGTAGGCGTTCGACAGGTTTTTGCTGAATGAAGGTGTAGTGTAGTGAAGTGCAGGCACACACACAAACAGCCACAGTCCCGCGGATTTCTCTACACCCTCTCGCTTTCGCATAGACACTAGAGAGGGACTACCCCGTTTGTGTGGAATAGTTTTTAAATTCCCTGTGTTTCTTTTAGACACCCGCAGCGCCTACTGCGGCTGCCTCCGCTCTCCCGACACCCGCACGTCTGCAGAGGGATCCCCGCCGAAAAGTTGAGCACAAGCTGGGGGCAGTTTCGTAGGAAGAGCAGCCTTCCCCTGAACATAGAACCACGTTAGCAAAGGATCGTGGAGGTCCTCATAGAAAGCGGGCGCGGCTACCCACATCCCAGGAGCTACCTACCCGCCTTCCCCGGAATCCCGGATAAAGTGCACGGGCATCCCCCTGAATAATGCCTCCAAAGAAGGGTGACTCCACCGGCTTTACCCCGACTTCCCCTGTCGTACCCGAACAAAGGACAGCACCTGGCACTTGCAACCGCTTCCCCCAGGGACAGGCGGGGCAAAGTTGCGCTTCTGCAAGGCTGCAAAAAGTTCCCCAGATTGCAGCTCCCAATCTCTGCGTCGGGAAGAAAAATTAAGCAGCTGCAGGAAATCCGGTCGCGGCTGCAGGGGCCCCTCACTCACCGCTCCAGCCGTCTGGGGAACCCCTGCCCTGGGCGGTGTCAACGTTGCAGCTGCAGCCGCGCGGGCGTCGCTATGGCTCGCTCTCCGGGGCCGCCTCCGTCTGCCACTCTCTCCTGCAGCGTGCGGAGTGGTGACTCCTCTGAGCGTGTCAGCGGCGAGGGGAGGGGCGGGAAAGTGGCTCTGGGCTTGCACGCTGCGGTCCTCCTCCCCCACCTCGCCTGCGCCTCCTCCCCCTCGCGCTGCAGTGCCGGGCGGCGGCGTGGCGCGAGTACGAGCGGTGCCTGGGAGGGAGTGACGGCGCTGGGGGCGGAGGGGGGGAGAGAAGAAAAGGGAGGCGGGCGCAGCGCACCACTAGGTGCAGGGCGGGTTGACCAGCTCGAGGTTTTCTGGGCGCTGAGTCGCTGCAGCAGCTCAGGATGCGGGGTGGGGGGTAGAGCTACCCCTAAGTATCAGATACTTTTGGAGAAGTCAGGGCTTCGAGTTTGCAGCCGGGGAACAGAGAGTACTAGTCCTTAATTGGTCACTGAGCGTGACTGCATCGTGCACGAGGGGACAGTGCCCCGAGGTTGGTCCAGCGAGACTCCGGGAATTCTGAGTGCTGGCCCCGGCTGGTGACAGATGGGAGAAAAAGGGCTTGCCTCTTGTTTTGGGTCTGGGACTGGTCTGTTAACTTTACCACGAAGAGCTAGCCTGATCATTCCCTACCCGCCACCCTCACGGTGACACACAAGAAGCAACAAGAGGAAGCTTGGGGTCGCAACAGGAGGAAACTTTGCCGGTTGTCCAGGATCTCCTCAATGCCAAGTAGGGGCAGACAGACATTGGAAACGACCCTTTTGAGCTAAACTACCAGATATTAAAAAAAAAAAAAAAAGGCACCGGGAATTTTGCTTGATTTTCAGAACCATTTGCACCTTGGTGTGCGGGGTAGTTCCAACTCCAGCCTCCAAACGGCAAAGTGCGGGGATGGATGGCTCATGAGAACACGCCCCCTTGTGAGACCACACCCAAGGCTGGCACCCAGCCCAGCCGCTGCAGAGCAGGGCGTCACCCTCTGCTGGCCTCCCGCCCCCTCTCCCTCCGCCCAGCCTCCTCCTCTGCCAGCCACTCCAGTACAGCAGCCAAACCCATCCCTAGGGTCTGGGTGGAATGGGGGCGCTCAGTTTTCCTGCTTTTACTGTTATAGCGATGATGACTGACCCACCCTATGTAGATGAGCACAGCGTGGGTGATGAACTCTTTCTTTCTTTCTCTCTCTCTCTCTCTCTCTCTCTCTCTCTCTCACACACACACACACACACACACACCAGATATCTGCCAATGTGTTCTGTTCGTGTAAAGATGCCGAGATGACTCAAAGGGGGGATTCTTGGATGTAAATATAAATAATAAACGTCCATGTGCCAGAAAAGAGATAGATTATCTCCTGCAGCTGCCTGCCCAGAAAAGCTGATATCAAAATATCTATGTGGCCTGGTGCTACAGAGAAACTGGTAGGGGACAAGGTGGTTCACCCTGAACTTTCTAACAGGAGCTTTCCTACTGGTTTGGGCCATCATAGGTGAGAGAGGAGCACAGAGACAATTTTTGGCCGCTAACTTTCCCTTCTCTCCAGTGCTGCCGCTTGAGAGCCAGCCTTACTTTGCGATTCTCCTGTCCTGCTGAGCCTACACTTGCTATGTTGGTCTCTGGATGCTGGTGGTTTTGCAGTTTGCCACTAGATATGTTGCCCAGACCTGATCAGGCAATGTGAAAATTTTTAAATGCACACACATTTCGTGGGTTATTTGTATTAAATGAATAATTTATTAAATTATTTAGACTAAAAATATCATTTTTACCATGGGAAGGAACACATTCCAAGTACCTATGAATGTATATTTGTTTTCTAATGTTGGCATTAGAAGTAATGCCAAATGCAAAATTTTAAAAATCTAAAATTATCCAGATTGCCTTACACATTATATATAAATTTTTTGAGTGCTCAACTGCAAAATATACTGGTGATATATTGATTTTCAAAATACATTTCTCTGGAGAACCTCCCAGATGTCATAGAATAATGGACTGTTTCTACAATTGACAGAAGTTCAAAAAACCATGAAATAAGCTCAAAAGAAAGATCAACATGTTTGATGCTGTGTTATTTCTTCTTAAATCATCTCCCTATGCAGTTCATGGAAGACATTTAAATAAGTGTATAAGTTTTGGGGGGCCCTCCCTGATGGCACAGTGAGTTGGAGCGCTGCACTGCTAAGCTAAGCCAAGCTGGCGGCTTCTGTGAGTTTGATCCCCGCCCCTGGGGTGACCCACATGGTGCAGCAGACCTCCTCTCTTGCCCGCTGCTCCCTTCAGCAGTGTATTTCATTGATCGGCCTGTTCTGTTCCCCGCTCTGTTTCTGGTGAATTCTCTTACCGCCCCTGTACCTGTGGCTTGTACCCCAGTTCTGTATGTATAAATAAATAAATAAATAAATAAATAAATAAATCTAAATTAAAAAAAAGAAACCACTTGTCTTACAGGAACTTATGAAATTAAAGGGGACACCTGCCCTGTCCCCACAAAATCCTAGTGCTCGGAAATTGCTACTCTTTATAAATCTGGAATTTTAACTCTCAGTGCAGTATTTGCTTGTAATGCTAGAAAGAAGGTCATTAAACTCACCAAAGGAACATCAAAGACCTGTCTTTGCATCTGTACAGTGGTTTTGATAAAAATAATTCATGCTTCATACAGCTGCTGTGGTGGTCACATTTGATAACACAATCAGGAAGCCCATTATAGTGGGCAGAGAATAATGTTCTCCCCTCTCCCTGTTAAGGGAGACTGTGAGTGGAGTGCCAGCCCTGTGAGATGCCTGGAACACAAACCTGGCTTCCACATCAAGATCAAGAGAACTAAAGCCACACCTTTCCATTTCTTCCCAGTCCATTTGAGGGGTCAATAGGGATGCACAGACACTCACCCTTATTAGTCCCAGTACTCTCACAGCTTTCCTAACACTGTCTTGGGAGTCTATTGATGTTAATCTCATTAAACCCTTAACACCTATTTATATCAGCTACTATTGAAAGCCCCATAAAATCATGTGTACTTCTCACCCACTACAATTGAGTGTTCCAAACACTCAGCAATCTTCTATTCTGTCCCCTTCTCCCTATCCTCCTCCTGAACCCCTTTGACTAGCCCTTCTGGAGTATACAGTATGCCATTAACAAAATGCCCTATATTCACAGCCTCCTCTCTGAATGCTCCCTTCATTTCCTGCTCTAATGGAAGCCTCTCCACAAAGTCTGCACCCACCTCCCACCTCACACACAACTCTCTCAAGTGATGGTGTGTCTTCTTCTCCCTCTTGTATCACTGTGGCAGAGTGGTATCCTTGTTCCTCATTACTGCTTCCAGAACATTCTTGGTCTCTTCTAAAAACTACAGCTTGGAATCTCATTTCACAGCTTTTATTGACCCACTCCTTTTAAATGTTGTTCAGACCTCTGAGTTGCTCCCCACCTTTCCTAATAAGTTTAGCTCATGACTCAGTCACTCCCTACACAGGAGTTCTGCCATAACTCCTGCAGATTTAATATATGCAAAGGTGTTCATTCCAACCACTACTGCTCTGAGAAGGCACAGGCCATCCCTACTCCCTTCCACACACCCACTCGGGGAGTCCTATGTTTCAGAATGCCTTACTTAAAAAAAAAATGTATGCCATCTCTAGTGGCTGAGTTTGCAGCCCCACATTTTTAGTAAATTATCAATTCAGTTTATTATTGACTAGTCATTTCTCACAAGTCCTAGCAGGAGGGAATTATAGTCCTTTTCAGAGGTGCTCTCTTTTATCCTCATGTAAGTTTTAAGTGAAAATCAGGAAATAATGAGTATAAAACAACTAACACACAGGAAAAATGACACCATGAAGGAGACCCAGTGAATAAAATGGAAGAAACATTAACCCTTCCATAGAAATGACTTCAGATATTAAAATTATTGGTCACAATTATTTTACTGAATAAAAGTGAAAGATAAGCTTAAAACTGTTTTCAGGCAATGGGGAATTCCAAGGAATAATTATCATATTTGAAAAGGCAGCAAATCAATCTTCTGCTCAACTCTGCTAGTTGCTTTATCATCACTTAACCAACTTCCACATACAGGTCCTTCCTTAAAGAAACTTTATTCTAATCTGCATGCTGTCATTGACTGGCACCACTTCACATAACATTATGGGGTTCCAGTCACTGGTTTGGAGGCACCCAGGAGAAGAGCTGCCATGTGCAAGCAACTAGCCAGCTCGAAATCTCTCAATGACAGCATGCAGATTAGAATAAAGTGGAAAGTTTCTGTAGCAGGGTCCCTAGATCATAGAAGGTGTTTGGCAAATATTTGCTTAGCACCAAAAAGGCTTCAGTAAGCAAAAGGGAACATTTAGAGTTCAGATAGAAGTCTTAAAAGGTATGTCACATGTCAGTGCCTGCAGGAGCTTCAGCAGAGAGGAAACACTGAGTGACACATGGCAAGTTTCTGACCTCAGCCGCTCCTGTGATGCACAGTAGGCTGTGAGCCCTCCGGTAACAGGGGATGGGAATTGGAAGATACATATTTCAGTGTTCTTGCTTCCTGGTGAGGAAGTTTTAAAGCATACACTGCACAGTTTCTCAGAGGGTTTCCCATGAGATAGCATCCAGCTGCCCATAGCTATAATCAGCTCATTCAGCAACCATGACAGAGACAACCCGCCATGCAAAGCTGGCTGTAATCTGGCACAGGTCTTCCTTCCCAGCCCTTTCCTCCAGTATTTCCAATTGGACTCTTATGTCTCAGATATTCTGGATTAATTGCCACCATCCAAATAATTACCAAGTATATCCTTCTCTGTGTTAAGTTGCTCATGTTCTCCCTGCTCATTGCCTGGAATACCAAATGCCACCTTCTCTACAGTACTTCTGCCAGCCATTCTAGGCAAAAGTATCCTCCTAGGTCCATACTGTAATAACTCCTCGGTTCAGCGGCATTTTTCACCAGCTTGGTATCAGTAATTCTGTCTCATTTCCTGCAGTCTTTTGAAAGTTACTCCCCAACACAATGTGTTCTAATTGAGGGTGCTGAATATATTTTGAATTGTTGTTCAAACATGTAGTTAATCTTCTATAGTCCTTCTTGAACTTCTCTTTCAAAAAGAGGCTTATCAAGAATCTTTCTATGAGGGACTTAGAGCTTCAAATTTTGCAACTACTTCTTTGGAATGGTAATAGCACAATATACCCTGAGAGGCCCCCAACATTTTTATAGCTTTAATTTGATATAGATATTTTTAAAAAATAGCCCACAGGTGTCCACTTTGTGGCATAAGTAATCTCTTTCTCTTTCCCCTCCTCCTCTTCAGCAACTTCTGCTGCTACTTTAAGCTCTGTAACAAGTGTTAGGAATCCTCTGTATCTGAATGATTTACAGCTCAAATTCGCATATTCCCAGTGGGTCTTCCACACCATCACTGGCTGGATTTTCCTTTTTAGCATTCTACCACAGGTTGGTTAACACATTGAATGAAATTAAATTATTTTCCTCCTCAAGGGAGAACTATTGTCTCCCTGTTCAGAATTTGTCTTGCATAATCTTCTTGTGCCAAATTAGTGTTCAAACAGCTATTTGTATTCTCAGCTTTTCTATTTTGGTAATAGACATGCTGATTTCCCCCCATATGATCTAGCTACAAAAATGCATGTAGTAAGCTTTCAAGAAGTTCAGTTAATTTCTATTTTTAGCACAGTTCAAAGGTATTAGTGCTGACCAACCTTTAGGTCACAAATGGCCTTTTATTTTAAGAGATAACAATACCAAAGGTGTTAGTAATGGAAACATTAAGTACTAATACTTTGTCTAAATCATTTTTTCTCTTTCTTTACAGCTAGACTAAGATGATTCCTTGCTGATAAAAACATTTTTTTTCTAAACTGCCTATTCTTTCACTCCACTCCCAGTACCAGTAAGTGTTTTCTGGAGCCACATTAACGATTTCCTTCACACTAACATATGCTATGTGAACATCAGAATGTCCATGTGCCACTTGAATTCATATCTGTTTTTAGTGGTCACCAGAATAATAGAATATTTAATTAGGGGTTCTGAAGGATCAGGTAAAGTTTAGATCAGGCTAAGTTTAGTACCACTTCCTCACATACTTGCCAGGGGTCCTCTGCAAATCCCACAAAGATAGCTTTCCAATTTTACCACTGATACAAAGTCAAATGAAGTTCAATTCAAGCTACTGTCAATTCTAAGGATGGGAGAAGGAAGTCTAATTTTGCCATTAGAACTAAACTACATTGGCACATGAATAAAACATTCACAATCATGTATTATCGGGGAAATGCAAATAAAACTACAATGAGATACCACTGTATATCTGTGAGAATAGCCCTATCAGAAAGGCCAGAAACAAAAAGATGTGGTACATATATACAATGGAATATTACTCAGCAACCAAAAAAAAGAAACACATGTCTTTTGCAGCAACTTGGATGGAGCTGGAAAAGATCATGCTTAGTGAGATAAACCAGAAAGAAAAAGAAAAATACCGGATGGTTTCACTCATAGCAAGAGTATAATGGACCAGGTGGAAAATAACAAAAATAATGAACAACCATATACCAGAGACATTTTGTGGGGGTGGAGTGGGGAATGGGATCAAAAACGGGGGGTGGGGTGGGGAGGGAAGTGCAAGGGATTATGGTG